CTGGTGAACCACTTCGTGGAGGAGTTCAAGCGGAAGCACAAGAAGGACATCAGCCAGAACAAGCGAGCCGTGAGGCGGCTGCGCACCGCCTGTGAGAGGGCCAAGAGGACCCTGTCGTCCAGCACCCAGGCCAGCCTGGAGATCGACTCCCTGTTCGAGGGCATCGACTTCTACACGTCCATCACCAGGGCGCGGTTCGAGGAGCTGTGCTCCGACCTGTTTCGGAGCACCCTGGAGCCAGTGGAGAAAGCTCTGCGCGACGCCAAACTGGACAAGGCCCAGATTCACGACCTGGTCCTGGTGGGCGGCTCCACCCGCATCCCCAAGGTGCAGAAGCTGCTGCAAGACTTCTTCAACGGGCGTGACCTCAACAAGAGCATCAATCCTGATGAGGCGGTGGCCTATGGGGCGGCGGTGCAGGCAGCCATCCTGATGGGGGACAAGTCTGAGAACGTGCAGGACCTGTTGCTGCTGGACGTGGCTCCCCTGTCACTGGGCCTGGAGACGGCTGGGGGCGTGATGACTGCACTGATCAAGCGCAACTCCACCATCCCCACCAAGCAGACGCAGATCTTCACCACCTACTCGGACAACCAGCCAGGGGTGCTGATCCAGGTGTACGAGGGCGAGAGGGCCATGACGCGCGACAACAACTTGTTAGGGCGCTTCGAGCTGAGTGGCATCCCACCAGCCCCTCGGGGCGTGCCCCAGATCGAGGTGACCTTCGATATCGACGCCAATGGCATCCTAAACGTCACAGCCACAGACAAGAGCACTGGCAAGGCCAACAAGATCACCATCACCAACGACAAGGGCCGCCTGAGCAAGGAGGAGATCGAGCGCATGGTTCAGGAAGCTGAGAAGTACAAAGCCGAGGATGAGGTCCAGCGCGAGAGGGTGTCTGCCAAGAACGCACTGGAGTCGTATGCCTTCAACATGAAGAGTGCTGTGGAGGATGAGGGGCTCAAAGGCAAGATCAGCGAGGCCGACAAGAAGAAAGTTCTGGATAAGTGTCAGGAGGTGATTTCCTGGCTGGATGCCAACACCCTGGCCGAGAAGGAGGAGTTTGAGCACAAGAGGAAGGAGCTGGAGCAGGTGTGTAACCCCATCATCAGTGGACTGTACCAGGGGGCGGGTGGCCCCGGGGCTGGTGGCTTTGGGGCTCAGGTCCCTAAGGCTGGCTCTGGTTCTGGCCCCACCATCGAGGAAGTGGATTAGGGCCCTACCTTTTCCCCCATATTTGTCTCTGCAGCAGAGGCGACTCAAGGATGTTGCTGTTGCCCTAAATTTTTGTTAACTATCAATTGTCTTCTATTTCAGTTCAGTCTGAAGTTAGGTGTATGTTTTTATTTGTATGTTTTTATTGCTTGCAACGCAACTAATGTGTTCTCTAGAATTCTTTCCATTTAATGTAACTTGGTACTTTAGAATGTCTGTTTTTCTCCTCAGTGATCAATTCTGCTACCCTTTGTGGCTGGCGGGCGGTGGGGGGGGAGGTTGGCCTTTAAAGACAAGTTTGAGTGGGGGCCTGCAAACCATAGGGTCTCAGTGGATTCCCAGTCGGCAAATGCCTGGTTTGGGTGCCAGATCCCCATTGGGGGCACGCAAGAGGCATCACACATTGTCTCTTCTTCTCTTCCTTTCTCCTCTCTGTAAAAATAAATCTTTAAAAAAGTGTTATTGCGTGACTGTTTTTATTTGTAAGTGTTAATAGACTCTTCCGAAATGTCTGAATTCCATACATGGTGAGTGGGGGCAGTACTTCTGATGACTGGTAAATATCGGGAGCCATGGCTATGGGTGTTTTTGTTGAGAATCAGTTCTAGGTGGTGTCACATTTGTGTTAGGAAACATTCTAGGTAACCATTTTGATTGGGGTGGAGCTTGTTTTAGAGAAAAGTAGGGACAGGAGCAGCAATAGGGTTTTGGGGAGGAGAGATAAGTATGGGTTTAAAAGCTGTGTTTAAATGATAGAATATCTGGTTCCTTATTTGCAGTTATATTTGCAGAGCTCTTTAGTACCCACTCCTTATCTGTGAGTTTTTCAGTCTGTTGTTGAGGTTATAAAGACATTCAGGATAGACAAAAGAGCAAAAAATGAGCTGCAGATTCACCCTGGCTCTGTAAATCCCACCTGGTGGTGAAATGCAGTTATTTATCCTGTGAGTTTTGGTTGCCTCTTTTTATATTGCCCAAATGGTCTCACTTCCAAAGTTGTAATGTCACTTTAAGCAGAAATATGCTATAGGTAAGTGACACCTTCAGTTATGGTCACCCTGCAGTTATAAAACTGAGTCTGAAAGATTGAGAGATACTTATATGGGGGCATGATAATAAAGAGGGATGGGCTAGACACTGTACCAGGTTCTTTGAGTCAACCCAATAATCTTCAGTAATCCTTATCCCACCATCCTCTACACATCAGGTATTCTAAAGCGTTTTTGAATAGGTGAGCATGTGGAGGTGTCCACTTTAATTAGATCGGGAACAAAATTAGCACAAGTCATGGTTTGAGGCCAGACATGGAGCCCAAGTCTGGTTCTGAGTAATGTTTTTACCCAAGTTTTAACAATCAGTACCCTCTTTCTCCTTTTTAATGGACAGGCTCAAAACAATAAATTTAATGTAGAAAGAAGGAGATAAAAGCTGAATGGTATAGAGCTGGGGGGATAGGGAAAATGGTCTTTCCTTGCATACAAGCCTTTGCCTAGGGGATTCTTCCAGCTTAGCAATTAAGTGTTCAGAACACTTCCTCTAGCCTGAGAGAATTTCAACCTGTTTCCTGCCAAACAGGAAACAGGTTGGATATTTCCATATTTCCTGGAAATATGAATACCTACGCCAAAATCAAAGAAATGAAAATTCCATGTTGTACCTTTCAATAGATTACCCTCTGAGGAGGGTAAAAGAAAACTTGTTAGGAATGACAATGTATAGGTAAGTCCTCCTACTGCTTGTTCAAGCTGCCCAGGTGTTTCTAACTTGTGACCAAAGTGTACCGGTGATACCCCTGATTGTATCTTTAGGAGCAGGAAAGTGTCTGTTTTCAGAGACCCAGCTGGTGGTAAGGAACTCATTGCTATGTGTGAGCCTGAAGGCTGGAAAGGTGTTAAAAGTGTTGACTCAACTGGTAGCAGCAGCAGCAATGATAGAGATTAGGGAAATCTCTAGCAACAGCATCTCCAAGCAACAGTGTAATAGAGCCCAGAAGACAATTCCTCAGGCTGGGCCAGTTCAGTTCATGACTCCCTCATTAGGGAAGTGGTTCATTAGGAAGCAGTATCAGAATATGTCATTGTATGGAAAAATGCAATAAAAATAAATTTAAAATTACAAAAAGTGTCATTGTCCACTTGTACACATAACATGTTGAAACTTCAAGCAAAATTCACTTTGCAATATCAGCCACAGGTGGAGGCCCCTGGGCTGAGAAATGTGACAAATAAATGAATACCACAGGACTCTTGGAAGACATTTTTTTGGTTTTTGGGAGAGATTTTTTTGATGGAAGGTTGAAACTGGGGGAAGGTCAGGGCAGATGGAAGGATAATTGGGTAAGAAAGTAAAGGGGTATTTCCCTTTTGGGCCTTCTTCCAAATTTTACTCTTTGCTCACTGTGTCTAAATTATATGACTCAAAAAGGAGACTGATTTTGTATGGTTCAGAACTCCCAAATCACCATTCTGTGTGGCTTTTGCTCAAAAGATGAAAAAGATGCCAACGTGCATCACCAAAAATGACTCACATTTATAAATGAGGAGTCCAGGTGGGATTTGGGATAATATACAAGGTGATAGATTAAGGGCCAAGAGCAAATTGTTAGGGGATATTTGAGAGAGAATATATTTGAGAGTGTATTCTAGTGAAGGGAGAACATGGCCTGGCTGTTGCCACCTACTTCAATTGGTTTGCTTCCCACGCTTCCTTACATATGGTGCTGTTCAGAGCATACTGAACACCTCTACTGGTTTTGCTCAACTCCCAGGCCAGGCACTACTCATAAAAGGAAGAAGAATGAGAACCGCAGAACAGTTGTTTACTGGTATAGAATTTCAGTTTGCAAGATAAAAAAGGTCTTGGAGATTGGTTATACAACAATGTGAATATACTTTACAGAAGTATACGCATAAAAAAGGTTAGAGTGGTTTCTGGACATCGAATTATGTATTTTAAATTTATACAGTTTATTGTAGTCAGTTGTATCAATACAGATAAAGACATGAAGCTTACTATGCCTGACAGATCTGCGGGATCCAGTGGGGTTGTGAATTCAGATTTCTCTGGGTCTACGGAGCGGGTTGACAGCTCCTGGGAGTGACCCTGGCCCCGAGCTGGCCCCGAGCTGGCCCCGAGCTGGGCCGGCAAGGACAACGTTGGAGTCTGTCATTAACAGGCCCGAGCCACTCAGAACTGCGCTCTGCTGCGCGCGCAAGTGGCGGGCGCAGGGACTTTAAGCCAGCTGGCCAGTCATATCACCTGTTTTTCAAAATTCACAAAATATCTCCGAATGTTTGACCAGAAGAATGTGAAACAGCCACTGATGGCCTCTCTTTCACTTTGATTTACTCTTATTTGGATGAACAATGAGCAAATGTTGCAGGTCCAACCAGGCATCTAAGAAGACAGCCAAGGCCGTCAGGCCCCTACCTCACCCGCCATAAATAGCCGGGTCCGGAGACAACGTTCTCTTTGTGCGAATTGCTCTCTGGCGGGAGGTCTTCTTGTAGTGTGCTTGGTGGCTGCTGCGCTACCAGCTTAAGGAGAAAATGGTGGCGGTCTCTAGCGCCACGGCCATCCTTGCACAGTTGTCTGCCGGCAAGTACCCTGGGGACCTGCTGGGTGAGGGGACCGCAGTCTCGGGCTGAGCAGGATGAATTACCATTACAGACTAGAGTTTCTGATGTCCGTGTGACGCCATTGCTTGGAACTGATGCAGCCCGGAGCATGGGGGGACTCGGCTAGAGTCGCCTGAGCTTTTGCTGACTCATTGGTTCCTTTACAGGCCCTGATTCTCGCGGGCGTGTCTACAGCGCAACAAGGGTGAGTGGTTTGTGCGAGATGGAGTGGCTGCGGTTGCCCTGGGGTAGGATGGGGGTGATGATGACTCCCGGTGACTCTGAGTGTCTCGCTGACGCCATAACCGCAGCGCGCTGACCACCTCCCTCCCTGAACTGGGATCCCTGGTATCTGGCACAGGGAGAAGATGATGGCCTGGACCCCTTATTAACCACTTAACTCCTGTGTTTTATTTCTCCACTAGGACTTTAAGACATAGACCTGTTGTCCTTGAATAAAGGTGAGTGTTAGGTGTGAGCATCTAAGTACCTTTTCAGAGACCGTCTTGCTCCCAGACTCTTTCATGGAGGACTGTGGAGCTTGCCTGCCTTTTATATGTTATTTATTTTAAAAGTATTTATTTTTATCATTGAGACTCTCACAGATATTCCACACCCCCCTTTGCCCACGTCCACCCAGCCCCTGTACCTCCTTCCCTTTGGCCATCACCACACTGTTGAGTGCCTCCTTTCTAAGGACACATGCAAAAATGTAAACCTTCCACTTGGTGGTTTTCCAAGGGCCACTTTTTGCATTATATTTCTTGTAATGATTACTTTTCGAAAAATCTCTTATAATGCCCTATATTATTGTCTAAGCCTGGTTCAACCTGCTTTCCCCACCTCTTTTCCTACATGGTGAGCTGGAACTATTCTATGCAGTTCTAACTTTATTTCCCACTTCTCCCAAAATACCTATGCCTAAGTCTTCCAGTGTTTTAGAACTTTTCCCAGAATAGCTTCCCTTGATCCAGGTCTCCCTGATTTGGGAATGATGATTTCTCAGACTAGAGTCACTGACACTGGTCTTGATGTCAAAAATTAAGTTCTGACTCATTTGGGGAACTGGAAATTTGAGTCTCTGAGAAGGGCCAATGGGTGGGTGGGCAGTAACTCTTGTTTGTCCTTTTTCACTTGTTGTCCTGTTTCCCTGTTTCTAGCATGAGCTCTGGAAGCCCAGGGGCAGTGCCCCTTCCCAGATTCACCACTAAAGTGGTGACTGAAAGCCTAAGGTTACTACTGTTGGAAAAGTACTGTTGTGATGTCTGGGATGCCTAGGGAATGGTTCCTGCCACTTAGGGCTGTGTTTGACAAGAGCAACGGTCCTTCTCTTGGGCTACTCTGGTGAGTCTGCAAGTTTTTCTTCCTGCCCCAGAGTAGTAGTGATGACCTGGTTGGACTACAGTCTCCGAACATTTCTCTCGGGATCTTAGAAACCATCTGATGAACTTATCACTTTAAAAAAAGAGAGAGAAAGAAAGAAAAGATTGATTTATTTTTAGAGAGAGGGGAAGGAAAGGGAAAAGGCAGCCAGGCATCAGGGCTGCAGGTAGGGCCACTTTTTTTTTCCCCCCTTCCCCTTTTTAAAATGTTATTTTTGAGATAGGGCGGGGGAGGGAGGAAGAGGATGAGAAATATTGGTGTGTGAGAAACAGTTTGATCAGTTGTCTCTCACACGCCCCCAAACCAGAGAGCTGGCAATCTTGACTGGGAATAAACCAGCAACCTTTCCATTCATAGGCCAGCACTCTTATTACTCTTAAGCCTCCCTTTTTTGCCATTTGGCAACTCCTCTGCCAGCCTAGCTTTCTGTTTTAATGATAGTTACCTGTATAGTTCTGATACATGTTCCTTTTATGAAATTTCAGGATTTTGCTGACAAAAAGTACGTCTTCTGTCTGGTTTGGGGCAGATCCTAGGAACTTCCTGCATTAGCCAGTGTGAGCAGCTGTCAACTTACTGGAGAAAAAAACTGCCTTGAAATTTGGGGGAGCTTAAATATCATTTATCTTTCACTTCACTTTGTCTGAAATAAGTACTTGGTTTTATTAAAAGGATTCCAATAAAATATATTAAAGAAAATAAAGTAGATTCTTTGGTCTCAGTGAAAACAAGATGGTTCAAAAAGATTAAGGAAAGTGAACAGAAGCAGCCACCAGTGAAGGAGCATTACAGCTGACATCTAGCTGTACCTCTTATAGGCGTGTATAAAAAACTGAAATTAGATTGTGTCACATTGACATTGTTAAGGATTTCTAGACTTTGTATCAAAAGAATTCTGATATACTAGATGCTATTAATAAGGATTTGGGATTTTTATGATGAACAGTTACTGACATAGTCACTTCTGGTGAATTGGTGAAAATATAAGTTGTGTTAGATGTGTTTTAAAAGAACATACTGGTGGTTGTCAGGATGGGGAGTTTAATGGGTTGTAGTTTTACAAGATGAAAATTATGGAGATATGTGGTGGTGATTATTTTATCACCAGCTTGTGTACCTATTGACTAATCTTTTAAAAATTGCATTTCTGCATTTTTTTAAAATTTTATTTTTAGAGAGGGGAAAGGAGGGAGAAAAGAAAAACACCAATGTGTGGTTGTCTCTTGTGTGCCCCCTGCTGGGGACCTGTCCCACAACCCAGGCATGTGCCCTAACTAGGAATTGAACCCATTATGCTTTGTTTTGCAGGCTGGCACTCAGTCTGGAAGGATCAGGCCAGTTTTCCAACCCACTGGACTGTCCATGACTGAGTTACCCCAACTGAGTTGATAGCCCGCAGTTTAATGGAAACGCTCCCACCTCCCACAATAGACATCTGATGTCAGCTATATTGGCCAGTGGTCAGACTGACCTTGCTATACCTGGGAACAGCTCTGCCCTTTACCTAACTTATTGTCCTGGCTCACATCCTGAAACCCTAAGGCACCAGCCTAGAAGAACAAGAGACTAATCCCTCCCCTATTGCTCTCAAACCCTTTATTTTAAAAAACCCATTCTTGCCTTTGGGGTTTGGGGCTACAGTATCAAAGGCACTGGGATCATAATCATCTGGTTTTAACAATCCCCTGAGCCACACCAACTAGCGCATTTCTTTTCCTACTGAACATTTCTAGCTTGGTTCCCACCACTTAAACTGATCAAAGATTTTCGTTTTCTTTTTAAAGATGGTAGGTGGGAGGGAGGGAGAAAGGTCAGTGAGGGACCTGGACTGCAACCCAAGCGTGTGCTGTGAGCTGGGATCAAGTCAGAAACCTTTTTGTCTGGGATGACATCCAACCTACTGACCACTATAGTGAGGGCATCCTTTATTTTTCTTTTTAAAAATTTATTTTTAGACGGGGGAAGGGAGGGAGAACAAAGGAAACGTCAATGTGTGGTCACTTCTTGTGTGCCCCTGCTGGAGATGTGGCTTGTGACCCTTGGGTTCAAAGGCCCATGCTCAATCCACTGAGCTACACCAGCCAGGAGGTCTATGCTTTTTTTACATGCCTCACTTAACTGAATCCCTCAAAATCAACTTTGCCCACTTTATTGCCAAGGAAAGGAAAGCCGAGGGATGTTTGATAATTTGCTTAAGCAGGGGTGTCACTTTTTTTACTGGGGGCCACATCAGCCTCACGGTTGCCTTCAAAGGACTGAATGTAATTTCAGGGCTGTATAAATGTAACTACTTAACTAGGGGCAAGGAGCTTGATGCTGCTACTGGGTAGAAAAGCAAGGTGCTGGGCTAGATAAAACAAGGGGGAGGGCCGGATTTGGCCAACTGGCCTTGTGTTTGCTGCCTGTGGCTTTAGGCATGCTCCGTGTCCTCCCCCAGGTACGTTACCTTTACCTTCCTCCCCTAAGATTCACAGACCCTTTTGCCTCTAATACGTGTTTCCTGAACCCATTTCTTGTGCATCTCACTTCTGCCTCTGACTTTCTAAATAAACTTTGTCTTGTTAAAAAAAAAAAAATTGTGCCCTGGCTGGCGTAGCTCAGTGGATTGAGCGTGGGCTGCGAACCAGTGTCGCAGGTTCAATTCCCAATCAGGGCACATGCCTGGGTTGCAGGCCACAGCCCCCAGCAACCGCACATTGATGTTTCTCTCTCTCTTTCTCCCTCCCTTCCCTGTCTAAAAATAAATAAGTAAAATCTTTAAAGAAGAAAAAAATGGCTTAAGCCCAGAGATGGGAAGTATCAGGACTCACATTCCATTGTCTCCAGTGAACCGGTCCATCACCCAACTTTAGAACATCAATAATTGAAGCAAATCTGCCTTTGACATTTCCATTTTTCCCCTTCTGGATCAGAGGAAACCACTCGATTGAATTGTGGCTTTATCATTCCACGTCCTTTATGCGTTTATTCTGCGTTCTTGTTACAGTGTTTGGTTTTGTTATCTTCTGGAATTTCATAAATATGGATTAATTTTACACAGTTCTGCTTTTTTTCAGAAGTACATTTTTCTGGGGTGACTATCCCATAGTAAATATAGGGGACTGGTTAGGATTCGGGAGCCAAACCGAACACTTTTTGCCTAAATTAACTTAGGTACACTCACAATGTCTTCATTTGTAAATGGATAAAAGGGTGCCCACCTTACAGAGTTGTTAGAGATAGGTACATGCCCTGGAAACAGTGCCTCGCACATAGCAAACCCTATTAAGTATTAGCTATAATTGTATTCCAGTAGCTTAGTCATTAACTTACACTTAGTCACTACCTCAGGCACCCTTAACCCCTGGCATCCCTTTTAGATGGTCAACTTAGTCTTCTCCACAGGGTCTCTTGTATTGTTGCCCTTATCTGTGTGGTCCTTCCCTGGGTGTTGGGACCCTCAGTCCTCTGCCAACCCCAGGTTTGGAGTATAAGACTGAGCTACAGCCATGGTGAAGGTTGTCGTGTGAACTTTATTCCAGGCTTGGAAATGACTGGTCTGCATCCTAGAGCCCCACAGCATGCCCTCAGGGTTGACAATTTGATAAAACCTCCACCCCAAGACATGATCTTCCTTGTCCCAGGAGAGGAGCAACTTCAGAAGTAACCAGCCTTCCCTCCCATCCCACCGGGCAGGTCTCCCCATAGCTCTCTACAGTTACTCTGAGCAGAGACTGGCCTGCTAGCTTAGCCACGCAATGAAGTTTGCAGGCCTCATCCTGGAAATACTCAACTGACCAGTGCCAGCCCCTCTGGACAACACCTCCACCCTGCCATTTACTCAGGCGAGAACACTTGGAGTCTGTTTGACTACTGTTCTCACGTACTATATCCAATTTGTTAGCAAATCGTGCTGACACTACCTTAAAAACAAAATCTGAGTGCAGTTCACATCGCCAATGCTACTCCACTCTGGTGGAAGCCACGGCTGTCTTACCTACATGACTGCAGCGTCCTTCAAATTGGTCTGGTTTCCACCCTGCACCCATTGTGTTCTATCGACACAACAGTCAGGATTTCTTCCAAATCATGACTTGGGTCTTGTTTCTCCCCTGTGTAAAGTCCTAGTGAAAGTCTTTACAAGGGCCTCCCAGTCTAGCTCTGTTCTCTCCCTTCTGCTTCAGCTACAAGGTATAAAGCCAGGAGCTGGTGGCTGCTCTCCTGTCAGTGTTCAGGGAGCAGTTTTCCCACCAGCTGGGGTCAGCCTTAGTCTGTGGGGTAGATGCAAACTTGTGCCAACAGAGTTTGTGGGTATAATTTAGGTTGAGGAAGTCCCAGAGTCTAGAAATAAACTTACAAACTTTTTCGACATTGCTTGTGGGAATGTAATTTTATACAATCCCTTTGGGAAACGCTTTGGCAATATCTTAAATAAGAGGCATATTTTTTAAAATCCAGGGTTTCCACTCTGGTAACACACCATAAGCAAACTCACATGCTTATACAGGATGAATGTACACAACAGTCCTTAGCAGTATTATTTGTGTCTGAAGAGAAAGAAACCACCCAAATGTTCTCCAACAGGAAAAATGGATAAATTGAATATTTATGAAACATAATACTGCAGAACAATGACGTGTTCTATGCAGCAGTGGTAAGAGTAACATACCAGCATGGGTTAACCTCACAATGAAAAAAAAAAAAAAGGCAACCCACAGAAGAATAGGTATGTAGTCTGTAATATTTAAAAACATTGGCAGGCCCTGGCTGAGTGGTTCAATTGGTTGGCGTGTTGTCCTGTACACCAAAAGGTAGCAGGTTTGATCCCCAGTTGGAATGTGTATGGGAGGCAACTGATTGATGTTTCTTCCACATCTGTGTTTCTTCCATCCTCTCTCAAATATATCCTTGGGTGAGGATTAAAATAAAAAACATTTGCAGCTGAACAGTATGTTGTTTAGAGTTAAGTACAGTAAAAGAAAGAAATGTGTGGGATTGCTAACTGCTAAATTCAATATAGTAGTCACCTGGGCTGTGACGGGTGGGGAGAGGATGATCAGTCAAGGATGTGTATGTGGGAGCTCGTGATACAATTTTTAAAAAATATGTTTGTGTATATGAACTATTTAAGTTAAAAACATGTTTGGGGGCCTCTGAATCTTGAAGGGCTGAGCAAAAACAAGCTAAGCCACCACACAGGGATACTGCTAGACTCCAGAGTTGGTACTCCCACTGTGCAGGAACAGAGCATCATAAAAAAGAGCAGGCAGATTTGAAAAAGAAGCAATTAGAAATTCAAGAATTGGAATAATTAAGGGTGTCAGGATGGCTGAGTGGTCTAAGGCGCCAGACTCAAGCTTTGCTTCCGAAATAATTAGATAAGCACAACAAACAAGTTAAATAACAGACCAGCTGAATAGAGGATTAGTGTGAATTGGAAGAAGAAATTGTCCACAATGTGGACTAGAGAAAACATGAATAATATGAAGAGGCAGTTAACATGGAGGATGGGATGAGATGCTCCGACCTTCAGCATTTTTTTGTGCAGAGCTGCCCTCGCTGCCTGCTTTGTTACACTGCACCATCTTTAGCTCTGCCTATGGCATATGGGCATCTGGCTTCCAGCAGCTCGGGGCCAACTGTTAATTAAGTAAATATAGAAACTATTGTCATACTTTCTTGTTCATTAACATACTGCATAATGATTATGTTTTGATTGTTGTGTTATTTCCCAAAGAATGAGGAAACATTATTCTAAGTGTTAAAGTACAGTTAGGTGATCCTCAGTTGGAAGTGAGTCACATTCTAGGCTGGCTGTTGCCTGTCATAATACCATCAAATAGCAGGAAGAATACTAAAAAAGAATACCCATATACCCATCACCTAAATCCAACAATTGTCAACAATTTTCCATATTAGAAAATACAGCAAAAATATTGTGTGTGAGTATATATGTCATGTGTATATATTATATACCATTGACCCTTGAACAACAGAAATGACAAGGGTTTGAATGGATACCTTGGGAGGATCACTTTTTAGCCTGCCACATGCTATGTATTGCACAGTGCCTTGTACCAGTATCATTTATTCTTTTTTTAAAAAATGGATTTGATGTTTCAGAGCGCTATCTGGTAGAATGGAGGGAAAAGCCTCCATTCTAGGAAACAGCCCTTTGGGGAGAATTTTGGCTGATTGGCCGACCTATGCTTATAAACACTAAAAAGAAAATTTTTTTTTATTGCAATACTGTTTGGTTTATGTGTAATCTGGACTCAGGAGAGTGCTGGTCACAGAACGGGTCTTTAAATTAGTATATTATACTGCAGTTGAAGTTATTTTGTCAAAGACCAAGGAAGCTGGATGAAATGCCTTACATAGAAGCTTTCATGAGTTTACATAATAAAGATGCAGGATTAAAAGGAAATAAATTAGTGGTGCGGAGGAAAGGGACCAGGAGGACAGAGATATTAAGGCTGCTGTGAGCATGGACAGGGTTCCCACAGCCCCTTCAGCCCTGGGGGATCCTCCTCCTTACTCAACTGAGGGAGGTGGAGGCAGTGAGCCTGGACTGGTCTCTGTCCAAAACCTAACCCGGTAGAGGAGAAACCCCTACCAGAGCAGGGCAATACCCTTTGTGGAGACTTCCAGTGGGAGTAGGGCCAGAAGGCCAGCCACTGGATATTATTGGGCACATAGTCCGTTTTCTACATCAGATCTATTAAACTGGAAAAACTAAAATCCTTCTTACAGAGATGATCCTACTAAAGTGACTGACACAGTTATGTCAGTTTTTGCTACACACCATCCCAACTGGGCAGACATACAAGCCTTACTAAATATCTTGTTTATTTGGGATGAGCAGAGGCTGGTGTTGGATAAGGCAAATGAAGAAGCTCTGAGACTTTACCAAGAAAGCCCAAGTGGGACTTCTGACCCCACTAAGGCAACACCTTTAACCAAGCCCAACTAGGACCCCAGTGAGAATGCTCTAAGGAGCACTGTGAGTAGTGCATCCTTGAGGGACTGAAGAAAGGAGTCTGTACGCAGAAAAGTCTAAATATGGTGAAGGCAGTACAACAACAGCCCACAGAGGACCCCTCTGATTTTCTTGAAAGAATCTACCAGGCCCATGGGAAATATACTGATTGGGATCCACAAACCCCTGAAAATATTAGAATGCTGAATATGACGTTTGTCTCTCAAAGTGTACCCTGACATCAGAAAGAAACTTCAGAAGTTAGAGGGAGGAATAGGCAAGAATCTTTCACAATTAGTAGACATTGCCTTCAAAATTTATTATAACAGAGAAGAAAAAAAAGGCCCAATCAGCCACTATTTTCTTGGAACAGGCCTCAGGGCAATTCCATTGGTGGGTAGGAGGCACTGACCCCCGTGTATAATACTTGCCACTGATCAATATGCATATTGCACAGGAAAGGAGGACTGGAAAATTGAGTGCCCCAAGTGAGGGGAAAAGGGCCAGAGTCTGAGAACTTGAAAATTATGCTGGGAAAAGGAATTTGCTCAGATGATGACTGATGGGGCCCAGAGGTTCTCTCATTACAACAGCCTATTAAACTCACCCCCCAGGAACCTCCAGTGAAGCTAACCATGGAGGGATAAACTGTAGCTTTTTTTATTGATACCAGGGTGACATACTGCATGGTCAGTAAACCTCTGAGTCCCCACAGCAGGCTGTAACTGTAACTGGAATTTCTGGAAGCCCCATAAACCAATGTTTCTTGAAATCATTAGAATGTGCCATAGGAGCCCTGGCTGATGTGGCTCAGTGGATTGAGTGCTGCCCTGAGAACCAAAGGGTCACCAGTTCGATTCCCAGTCAGGGCACATACCCAGGTTGAGGGTCAGGTCTCCAATAGGGGGTGCTCAACAGGCAACCACGCTTTGATGTTTCTCTCCCTCTCCCTTCCCCCCTCTCTAAAAATAAATAAATAAAATCTTTTTAAAAAATATGCCATGGGAGATAGGCTTTTAACTCATAAATTCTTTTAAAGCTTTTATTTCTTTGGAGATCACATGGAGGGTTAGCAACAGGGGAGTGGTAAGAGGAGAGAGGGGGAAAAGGTACGGAGAATAAGTAGCATAGATGGTAGGTAGAAAATACACAGGGGGAGGGCAAGAATAGTATGGGAAATGTAGAAGCTAAAGAACTTATGACACATGGACATGAGCTAAAGGCAGGAAATGTGGGTGGGAGAGGGTGTGCAGGGTGGAGGGGAGTGAAGGGGCGAAAATGGGACAACTGTAATAGCATAATCAATAAAATACATTAAAAAAGATTTTATTTCTTTATTTTTAGAGAGAGGAAAGGAAGGAGAAAGAGAGGGAAACATCATAGTGTGGTTGTTTCTTGAATGTCCCCTACTGGGTACCTGGTCCACAACCCAGGCAAGTGCCCTAGAGTGGGAATTGAGCCAGTGACCTTTTGGTTCACAGGCTGGAGCTCAATCCACTGAGCCACACCAGCCAGGGCTAACTCATAAACTCTTATATATTCCTTAGTGTCCAATTCTTCTGGGAAGGGACTTGCTGTGAAAACTCTGAGCCCAGATCACTTTTTCTGCAGAGGAGCAGCAGCTCCACCTACAGGTCCCTCTGGAGCATGCATGGCAATTCTTGATGAAATTGTGCGGGGAGGAGAAAGAAGCAGATCCCTGGTGACAAGAAACCAAGAATCAGATAAATCTCATTGTGTGGGCTGCTGGAAGGGCAGGGAGAGCTGAGCTTACATCCCCTGTTAAAGATGACCTCAAACCAGGGGCAGGAACTCCCAATAAGAGGCAATATCGCTTGTAGAAAGAGGTCCAAAAAAATATGCCCAATAATTCAGGAGTTTCAGGAATATGGACTTACTCAGCCCTGCTGCTCTCCATACAGTACACCCATATTGCCCAGTAGGAAGCCTCACTCAAATGAATATCAGTTTGTACAAGATTTAAGAGCCAAATGACATTGTACATGGCATTCACCCTACTGTCCTGAACCTTTATACTGGGGTAAACAGTATACCTGGGGACAGCCTTTGATATTCAGCATTGGACTTAAAAGATGCCTTCTTTTGCATTCCATTTGATCAAGACTCTCCACTGATGTTTCCTTTTGAATGCAAGGACCCAGAATTTCGAGTCAAGACTCAGTACTGCTGGAATTTTACCACAAGAGTTTGACAACTCCCTCACAACTTTGGGGGAGGCCCTGAGTCAGGACATAAAGGACCTAAAACTAGAAGGAGGAACTGTGTTACAGTATGTAGACAATCTCTTAACTGCCAGGACATCATTTCGGCAATGTTTAACTAACACCATAGCTACCTTGAACCATCTGGCATCTTGTGGCTGTAAAGTATCAGCACAAAAGGCTCAGATTTGCCAACAGACAATAAGGTTTCTTGGGTTCCTGCTTGAACCTGGCAAAAGGAGTCTTATTGGAAACAGAAAAGAAACCATAATTCAAATGAGTGTTCCTAATACCGGGAAACAGTTAAGAGAATTCCTGGGGCTGGCAGGCAACTGCCGCATCTGGATTCCAAGCTTTGGGCTCATTGCTAAAGCACTGCATGAAGCTCTGAAAGGACTAGAATCTAGCCCTTTAGAATGGACAAAGGAGTGCATTCAGGATTTTGAGTCCCTGAAGGTGCATCTGGCTTCTTCACTGGCCTTGGGGCTTCCAAACCTACTAAAGCCCTTCCAGTTTTATGTTCATGAAAGGCAGGGTGTTACCCTAGGAGTCCTCAGCCAACTGCTTAGTGACATTCTGCAACCCATCACATACTTGTCAAAGAAACTAGATCACATTGTCCAGGGGTGATCAGCCTGCTTGAGAGCTATGGCAGCCACCTGTGAACTTTTATAGGAAGTTGAAAAGTTTTCCTTGGAACGGCCTATCACCATTTATGCACCCCACCAAATGTTGAGCCTGCTGGGGCAAAAGGAAATTTGGGGCTTAGTGCTGGAAGAATGGGCAGGTACCAAGCGATTCCTCTCAACAATCCCAATGTCTCCCTCAAAACTGTAAGTTAAATCCTGTCTCTCTTCTCCCAGAGCCTGACTCGGCTGCACTGATATATGACTGTGCTGAGATAACTGATGAAGTGTATTCGAGCAGAACTGATTTATAGGACCATCCTCTAGAAGAGGCGGACTGGACTATCTATGCAGATGGAAGCAGTTCTATGGACAAAGGAAACAGAAAGGCTGGGTATGCAGTTGTGACTCTTGAAGGAACAGTAGAGACCCAGGCCTCAGTGCCAGGAACCTCTGCTCAGAAAGCTGAACTGATTTAACTGATGAGGACGCTGGAATTATCACAGGAAAAGAGAGCAAATGTGTATAATGAGTCACAGTACATGTTCCTAATTTTGCATGCACATGGTTCTATCTGAAAGGAAAGAGAACGATTAATCTCCAATAAAAAGGAAATTAAGCATGCAGCAGAAATTTTAAAATTGTTCAGGTACCTTTACAGGTGGCAGTTACACACTGCCCCAGATATCAGAAAGAGGACACTGAAGTGGCTAAAGGAAACGATCTGGCCAATCAAGTGAAAGAGGCTTCAAAATGAACATTTAAAATGCCTTTGGTACCTGTTCTAGATCTGTTGCAATTTGACCCTGAATATTGGACTGTAGACTCAAACAAAGCTTGGCGTTGGGGTTTTGATGAAGAAGGTCCCGATAGTGGAAAGAAAAGGAATAAGAAAAGAGTTATACTGCTTTCTGAACATTTAGTAGAGCCAGTCATGAAGCATTTGCATGAAGTCGCTCACTGTGCAAGGGACTCATTAACCTTGTATATGAAACTGTGTGGCTCACAGGTCCTAAAGCCATATGGAAAACTATAGGTAGATGTGTTGTGTGCCAGAAGAACACCCCCAAGACAGATCCCCATCTAAAAGAAGAAGGGAAACAATACCACAGACAGTGCCAGTTTGAGGACTAGTAAGTAGATTTTACCCACATGCCAAAGGTCCGAGTGTGGAAGTATTTGTTAGTCTTTGTTGATACCTTTTCAGGATAGGAGGAAGCCTATCCTACTAGAACTGAGAAATCCTGAGAGGCAGTGAAAGCCCAACTGAAGGAAATAATTCCTCGCTTTGGCCTACTCAGCAGCATCCAGCGCGATAATGGACCTGCTTTTGTTTCAGAAATTACATGGAAGGTTAGTACATTTTTAGGAATCAAGTGGGGACTCCACAAGGCATGGAGAGCTCAGGTTTCTGGAAAGGAAGACAAGATGAATCACACCTTGAAGAAAAATATAGCCAAGCTCTGCCAAAAAACTCATTTTCATTGGGATCAAGCTTTACCTATCGTCCTGCTCAAGGCAAGGGTGGCTCCTTGAAGTGGGATTCAGTTGAGTCTTTATGAGATTGTGTACAGGCGACCATTTCAGGCTATGATTGTGATGGGAGATATGTATGTAGATCAAGAAGTGAAAGTAAAGAAATGTATACCACATTTAAGTCACACCTTACCTGTGATTAATGACTTTGCTTGTATTGGAGACCTCTCCCCCACACGTCTGGCTACATGCCTTTGAGCCTGGAGACAAGGTGCTACTCAAGACTTGGAAGTCAGGATCCCCAGAGCCAACCGGGAGGAGAGTGGACTGGACCTTGGAACGTACTCCTCACCACCCCATCCGCGGTGAAATTGGCAGGAATGAAACCTTGGATTCCTCACACCACAGTAAAGAAAGCACTGGAGGAACAATGGACTGCCGAACCTCAAGAAGACCCGAAAGTTCGTCTTTCTAAAACAGTGCCTTATATTCTTTTCCATTACTTTTTGTTTAACCCCATGTCATGGAGAACTTGTTCCTTTCAAATGAGATGAAAATATTAGGTATATTTGGCAAAAATGTTCTAAATGTTCTAATGTTCTTTGATTTTTGTCTTGCAGAAGGAACTTACTTTGAACAAACTTGCACTTCTTGTCTTATAGGTGTTTGTACTCCCCCAGAAAGCCTTTGAAATAAGAACATAACCTACTCATATTTGTAACTGGGGACCTGTGTTAACTCTAAAGGACAGGGAAATGTTTTCTTAAAAATTACTAAGTAGCACTGGCTTGTGTGGCTCAGTGGATTGAGCACTGGCCTGTGACCTGAAGGGTCACTGGTTTGATTCCCGGTCAGGGCCCATGCCTGGGTTGTGGGCTGGGTCCCTGGTGGGGGGCAAGTGAGAGGCAACCACACATTGATGTTTCTCTCCCTCTCTTTCTCCCTTCCTTCTCCTCTCTCTAAAAATAAATAAATAAAATCTTTTAAAAAAGAGTTCAGTAATGTAGCCCCAGCTGGAGAGTGCACAACTTTTGTCAACTGTACTAAAAACTTTTTTATGCTTTCAGCAGATGTGGAGATGAATTGCACCACCACTAATGTATCTTATGCCTTTAGTCATGTCAGATTGCCTGAAGGATGGTTTCTAATATGTGGAAGAAATGTTTATCCCTGTGTTCCAACAAACAGCTCTGGGGGACAGACCATGCTCTCTGGGAAGACTGACGTCGCTTATGCCTCAGGAGCCCCACACCACTCAGGCTTGATGGGAACTCTCCCTTGCATCTGATTGTAACAGAGATTTGCAGCTTTTAGCCCTGCTGAATATGTGTCTTTTACTATATTTGTAATGCCAGCCATGGCAACCTTTTTGAATGTAGAAATGGGTAGATTAGCCTGTGCTATGGCAAAAACTTCGAGTGCCACCTCACAAGCCATTAGTCAAGAACTAGGACAAGTTAGAGAAGCAGTATTAGAAAACCATACAGCTATAGACTACCTCTTTTTAAGACGTAATCATGGATGTGAAGAACTTGAAAGACTGCTGTTTCAACCTGACTGATAATTCACAGCTCACAGAGCATAAAGTAAAGCAAGTAAATGAAGTAGTGTTCAAGATAAAGCAAAGAGAGGAATTCTTTGGTATTGATTTGTCTGAACTAACCTCCTGGCTGCCTGGTGTTCCTGGTTTAGAGAGGCCTTTGTTGTTTTCATTCTTTTCATCTTTGTCAGTGTGATAGCTAGCGTGTTGTTGCATACAATATGCCCCCTTATGTGGATCTGCAACTGAGTGTATTCCTGACCCCCCACCAGATGGTCTAATGCTAAGATGCGTGCTCAACAGCAAAGTGCATACTTCCATATGACACTGATCACATGGAAATAAGATAGTTTAGATCAACAGTGGTGGGAATGATAGGGGAACTCAAGAGTTGGAAATATTTAATTTAAGTACTAGTTAATAATAATTAATGCATGTAAAAAGCTATTGTTTTAGGAACTGAAGGCAGTGACAGGCAGTACAAACACTATCTTCTGGTTTCAAGAGGAAGGAAGAGAGAAACACCACTTTTGTTGTTCCAATTATTTACATATTTATTGGTTGATAATTGTATGTACCCTCATCCTGGGATCAAACTTGCAACCTTGGCATATGGGGACAATGCTCTAACCAACTGAGCTACTCAACCAGGGGATAAGAATTAATTTTAACAAAGTCTGTTCATATAGCACTGTCTTGGTCTCAAGTTCTGGTACAGGGAGGGCACCTTTCAAATGGGAGTTTTATATTCTGCTTTCAGGAGGAAAAAGGAAGGTCAGACTGTTCTTCTTGTACCTGCTATTTCTCAAGTGCCTTTAACTCAAAATAATTGATATGCCAAAGCAGCATATTTTGGGGTAACATGCTTTGAACTCCTTCACCTGAGTTAATTATTTCATTTAAGTTTGCAAAATAATGGTTTTCTAATTTGATTATTCTTTCCTGCACTTAGTAGCTGACATTCCTTTGCAAAATAAGTAATTAATAAGTCATCTTTCATCAACTGGTACTTTGTTTAACTTGAATTACTTGCTGTTACTGCAAAGGCAGGAGAAATGATTCATCCTTTTCCTTTGTTTACAGTATTGTTTGTAAGGAGTTGGTATAAAGGTCTTCTCCAATGGTGGCAAATGAATTCCACCTATTTTTGTATACCTGAGTCCAAGAAATTTCCTGTGGTTCTTCTGACTTTATCAAATCTCTCGCCAAGACCCAGACATGCTGACACACAACCCTTCCTCTGACCTCTCCATTTAGAACTGTGGCCAAGGAACTGCCACTGGGGTTGGCATGGCATTGCCAGTGAAGGCATGGTAGTGCCCAGACATTGGTCCCTATCAGGCTTCCAGTATCAAGGGCATTTCAATATGTGCAGGGATTGCAAATATCAAAACTGAGCTTTGGCCCTGGATGGTGTGGCTGAGTGGATTAAGCGCCAGCCTGTGAACCAAAGGGTTGCAGGTTTGATTCCTGTCAGGGCACATGCCTGGGTTGCAGGCCAGGTCCCCGGTGGAGGGTGTGTGAGAAGCAGCAACACATTAATGTTTTTCTCTCTTTCTTTCTCTCTCCCTTCCCCTCTCTCTAAAAATAAATAAATAAAATCTTTAAAAAAAAAACCCAAAACCAAGCTTTGTAGAAGTCAAACATCACTGGTCCCTTAAATTGGTGAAGTGATAGGAAGATAGCAAGGCTGGGCTTAAGGTACTGAAGCAAAAGATGACTATGTATCTTCACTTCCCCCTCCAGCCTCACCCTCTTTTGATGCATGCTGGGATCCCTTGCTCAGGGCACAGCCAACTTTTTAGCTCTGTGTTCGTTAAGTTAGAGTTCTCCATCTATATTTTTCCTTCTATTTTATTTGTTGTGAAGTATGTAATATACACAAAAGTATATATAATAATTACATACAATTTAAAGAAGAAATAAACTACATGTACTTGCCACTGAGCTCAGGATCTGGCACTGCCCTTGCTGGTGTGGTTCAGTTGGACCATCATCCCATACACCAAGATGTTGTGGTTTCAACTCTCAGAGCACATACTGACAGGACAAAGCCAGTCCCAGGCAGAAGATAACATTGGAATAAATTGCAGCCTCCTGTTACAATGCCCCAACAGCCCAG